GACCAGAATAGCTCTGCTATCCGATTCCTGCCGGAGGGGCCACCATCACTCTCTGCCGCTATCGGAGCTGACATTTGAGCCCAACCCTCCTTCCGCGGCAGCAGGACGTGCACTGAGGCCACCCTCAGTCCTCTGTCCTCCCCACGGCACAGCCAGAGACGAGCAGGATGGCAGGCAGAAGACGGCATGGGCGACGTGGGGGACCCCGACAGCAACCGGGGACCCATGAACCAGTCCCTTCGCCTGCACCCCATTCTTCCACAGCCACAATGGCCCAGCAAAACACAGGTACTTCCCCCAGAACCAGCCACCCCAAGAAGCCTGCGGAGGAGCCAGTGGCAAGGAGACCCGACATGAACTCGCTGGGCTTCCAGGACATGGACCGCAACGTGCCGGGGCTGTCCCATGTCATCCTCCAGAAGCTCAACATGAAGAGCTACGAGGACTACAAGTGAGTGAGCACACACGGGTGCTGCCACGGGGCTCTGCGTCTCCGTCCCCAGCCAGAGCATCTCCTCTGGCTCATCCCACCCTCCCAGCTCAGCCTGGAAGTGGGGTGCTCTGATGGGGCTCCTGGGTGTACCCCTCCACCAGCCCATTCCCCAGCTCCCTGTCCCCAGCCAGCCTGGGTCAGGATGCTCTTGGCTGAAGCTAAAAATCCTGTCAGCCTCGGAGGGGGCTGTCAGCCCCACTGTGATGGCAGAACAGCATGTCTGGATCCTGCTCACCCTCCCCAACACTTCCAGGTCTGCCATGGATGGGAGGAAGAGTGGCAGCGATTTCGGCATCCGGACTTACTTTGACATGTTCCAGAAGATGGAGGACACCTTCAAGTTTTGCGCCGAGTGCAAGAAGCTCCCCGATGCCCTCCCTGACCTCAAAAGCCTCCGGCGATGCAAGAGGTATGGCGGGGGTCAGGGGCTAGATCCATCCCCCTCACTTGCAACCCAGTGACCAGGGTGAAATTGGGGGTGTCTGGCCCCAACACCCACCTTCAGCCAGAGGGCACCCCCAAAACAGCGACGCAGCCCTGGCAGGGGGTGGTGGGGAGCCAGGCTCGGCAGGCTGGATCCTGCCCCCCTCACCATGGCTGGGCACGCTGCTTCTCTCCCCAGGTGCCAGAATGTGTACTACTGCAGTGTGGCGTGCCAACGGGCCAACTGGCCGCTGCACAAGAAGTTCTGCAAGAAGCTGAAGCTGGTGGCCCTGGACCGGCTTGTGGAGTGGCTCGTCTTCACAGGTGGGGCAGGGGATGCTGCTACCACCCCACGTGTCCCCCCTCCAGCCTGCTTGACCCCCTTGGGCTGCACAGGTCCCACAGAGGGACATGGGGTCTCTCCTGCCGGCTCCAGCACCCCTAGCCAGGTCCAGTATCCCCACAGCCCAGCTGTGACAGGCAGCCTGGGCTGTGGGACTACTGCTGTGACCCCCAACGCTTCTCCCTGCTTCCTTCAGGGGACATCCCCTTCCCCACAGAGACCTGGACAAAACCCGCCCAGGAGGTGGAGGGCTGGGAGGACTGGTTCTCCATGCAGGAGCAGCTAGAGGAGAAGCTGGGCGCCATCCTGGCAGGGCGGTACATGACCCTTCTCTGGGCCAACGCCGGGAAGCCCCGGCCGGAGGAGGGGGAGCTGCGCGAATCCATCCGGCGGCTCGTCACCGACTTCCACTCACGGCCACTCACCATCGGGTTGGGGCTGCGGCTTTTTGGCATTGACCCCCTCGCCAAGGCTCTCACCGTGCACGTGGTGGGGGCATCCCACATCGAGACCCTCAACACCCGGCTGACAGACTACGATGAGCTGATGCGAATGTTCCCAGGGCACTGGGGCATGGAGGTGGTGATGGTGGGCATGGATGTGGTGGATGGACCCATCATGAGGCCACCCTTGGCCATGCCGGCACCCCAGGGAAGGGTTTATCTCAGCAGCTACAAGGGGCTGTACCACGACTTCTGGGAAAGCCATGTGGAGACCAAGCTGGCCACTTGCCCTGACCTGGTGGTGGGCTTTCACCCAGGTGAGTTCCTGTGCTGCGGAGGGGCCTGGACCCTTGCCACCCCTTGCTGCCTGGAGCAGGATGTCCCCACAGGGTGTAGGATAGACCCTGAGTGCCCCGGCACTGCTAGGGGCTCAGGATGTGCCTGAGTCTTGCCGTGGCCATGCACCAAGCTGCAATGGGCCACCTCTAACAGCTGGAGCAGCCAGGGTGACCTCCTGGGGCTCAGCTGCCTCGTCCTCTCCAGGCACTCCGTGTCCTGCCTGTCACTTGCCTGTCTTCAGGTCTCAGTGCAGTGGCTTAGCCCAGGACCCAGAGCCAGGGGTGCTGGTGGGGCAATGGGACCCACTTTACTAAGGGCTGCCAAGCCCCACTGCTAGCATCACTGTGCACCCTGATGGTCTTTGGCACAGGACGGGTGCTGTTAGAGCTGGCTTTCCCCAGGGCCAAGGTGGACTGGGAAGGAAGCAGTACTCTCACCACTGTGTCCCCCCAGGTTTCCATGCCTGCCCAGACCTGCTGGCAGGCGGGCTTCCCACCCTGCTGCTGCTGCGGGACTACCGCCTGCCTGTCCTCTTCACTGTCTACAGGTGAGCATGGTCCCGCTGCCTGCAGCATGTTGGCACGGCTGGCCAGTAACGGGACTCTTTGTCTCCCGGCAGCGAGCAGGAGCTGAAGTGCTCCCTGCAGATCCTGGTGGAGCTCGAGACACACATCATGGGCTACGCTGCCAACCCCTTTGCCTCACTCCGGCCAGAGCAGGTCTACTCCAGCCCCAACAAGGCACCCGTCTACTGCAGCTCCTACTACATCACCCTGCTGGGGCCAGTGGCATCTCACGTCCCCTGGCGGGGGCCAGTGGCATCAGCCATGCCAGGTGCTGAGGAGCTGGAGGATGATGATGGGTGGCAGGGAGGGGACCCTAGCACTGCTGGGGGCATTGCCCTGGGACTGGGCTGAGTCCCTGCAGCCAGCACTGTCCTGCCTGGACCCTATCTCCCCATCCTGGGATTGGCAGTCCAGCCATCCCTTGCCACACATATCCAGTCCTGGAGGATGCAGCACCATGGCACAGGCACAGCAACCCTCTACAGAACCAAATAAACCACTGCAGGCAGCCACCCGCTATGTCTCAAGATTTTATTTCCGAAAAAGCTTTTGTTTTCCCAAATAAAACAGAAGGCTGGGCCTGCCCCAGCCTCCCGCAGGCAGCCATGGCCCTCAGAGGGACAGCAAAGGGGACCCCGACTGCGGGACCTGCCATGCACGGGGCCATATGGTCCCTGCGATCCTG